CCCCGCCCCCACGACCAGCGTCGCTCACCTTCTCGGCCCGGGCTGTCAAGCGAGGGCTCCCAGACATCACCTCGGCCTGCCGCCACCTCCTCCAACTCTCCCAGCTCAGTCGGAGCCGATCGGCGCAGCAATCAAATCCGAGGCTGAAGGAAGAAGGGAGAAGGGGGAGGGGAGAAGCGCCAAGCGCGCTACCCTCCCCGGGAAACTCACTGCCACTTACTCCCAACCCGGCCGCAGTCACCAGCACAAAATGGCGACGAGAAGAGAGCCGGTGCTTCGACCACCATCCACCTACCAAGGGAGCGCGCTGTGGCCGCCTTCGTCTATTGGCCGCTACCCGCGACCGGCCAGCATTTGCCTCCTCTGATTGGTAAGCTTTTGCTACCTCCTATTTCCTGCGGTGCGAACGCCCAGCAAGCCGAAGAGAGTATCTATTGGCCAATCCGGCAAGGCCCGCTTTTTAGAAGCTTGGCTTCCTTTGAAGATGAAAGACAAGCGGAAGCTCCACCTCTTTCTTCAAAGGGCACGGGAAGCCTCTAGGCGATTGGCCGGGAACTGTATCCACCCAAATGTCACCGCTTTCATCCTGTCAATAAAATGAGCAAACCTATCAATAAGAAATTTCTCAGCCTGACAGCGAGGAAAAGAGAACGGTTGATCCCGTGAGGTAATGACAGCGGAAGGGAAAGAGGGCTCCTCAACACCACCTCGTTTGAAAACAATCGGACTCGAGACCTATTTACTGCGGCAGGGGCGGAGCGACAACTATCGAGTGCAGACCAACCGCAGCTGCTCGCAGTCGCATTTCCGTTCCCGCCCATGAGACCCTGCCACTCAACCTGTCATGGCGGTTGGGATGTTAGGTGTGGGCGCTCGCCGCCTTTTGGCTGCAGCGGCGAGGCGAGGGCTCCCGGCTGCCCGCGTTCGCTGGGAATCCAGCTCCTCCAGGGCTGTGGTCGCCCCGTCTGCTGTGGCGAGAAAGTGGCCGCCGGAACCGACCTTACGCTGGCAGGAGGACCCAGAGTCCGAGGACGAAAACCTCTATGAGAAGGTGAGAGGGAGGGGGAAATGGACGCCGGAAGGGTCAATCGGGGCCGGCGGACCGGGCACCGTAAAGGACGTTCTTAGGCGGCTGAGGATTGAGCAGCTGGCGAAGTCACCGAAGACTTGGGAATTTTGCCTAGCTTGTTTTTCTCCTTTGTCCCCTGATATGTTCGGTCCAGGGCCAGAGGCGGGGTTGGCCTTTTTTTTGCCGAGAGAAATCAAACGATGTGGGCAGTGCTCAAAACACTTTAGAAGCAACATAGTACAACAACGGTTATACTAAATACTGATAGGGCACTTACCCGGTGCCAGTGTGTGACACTACATACCTTAACTCATCTAATCCTCAAAACAACCCGATTTTGAGGTAGGCACTATTATACCCATTCTATAGATCAGGAAACTGAAGCACAGAGATGTTAAGTGGATTGCCTAAGCTGACATAACCAAATACGTGGTGGAACCGTACTTGAACTTAAGGCTACCAGGTCTGCTGTGCTGTGTTAATTGCAGAGACTCTGAAGTCAGACAACCCAGGTTGGACTCCAAGTACTGGCAGTTACTCACCTGTGTGACCTTGGGCAGGTAGCTTTACCCCTTGGTGCCTCAGTTTCTTTGTAAAATGGGAAAAGAAATTTAGTACTACACCTGCCTCATGTAATTAAATGCGTCAAAATGCTCAGAACAGCAGCTAGCACTTGGTAAGTACTCAACATTGGAAGGTCTTTATTATTGCCACGTTCCACCTCACTGAGATATTCTGAGGTTTATGTATGTGAAAAGACCTGGTGCGTAATAAGTACTTCATCAATACTAAACTCTGGTTAAGAGGATTGGATATATAGGATGCTTATGCATTTATTCGTTCATTCTGTAAATATGTATTGAGGGCCTGCTGTGTGCCAGGCGCAGTTCAGGGCCCTAGGGATACAGCAGTGTGGGAATCAGATAAAGCCCATGCTCTCATAGAGCTTATGTGATAGTGGGGAAGACAGAAAATAAACATGTAAAATAGTAGAAAACGATTATACAGAGTAATGTAACAGATAAAGATACAAGATAATGTGATACAGAGAATAGGGAGTGCTATTGGTAAATAAATGCTAGAAAGAAAGTCAAGCAGGATGAGTGGATATAGGGAGCTATTTTATTTGATTGAACCGTAAGAAATTATAAATATTCAACCATTTTTGATCTATAAAAGTAGCAGTTTCCTATAGCTCAACTTAATAGATAAGGTGTCTAGGGAATACTTAAGAGAGTTTGATGAAACCAAAACTTTGAATGAGGAGATGGATCCAGCCATGATTAGATCTGGGGGAAAGGCTTTCCAGGCAGAGGGCAAGTGGAAAGGCCCCTTGGTGGAAAGAGCTTGACCTGTCCTAATAATAGAAAGAGTGGAATTTAGTGAGGGAGGGGAGATTGGTCTGATGTGAGATTGGAGACCACATTATGCAGAGCCAACATAAAGCTTTGTAGAGCAGCAGGAAGCTCTCATTGATCTCTCCTTCTCCACAGAACCCAGACTCCCACGGTTACGACAAGGACCCTGTTTTGGACATCTGGAACATGCGGGTTGTCTTCTTCTTTGGCTTTTCCATTGTCCTGGTCCTTGGCAGCACCTTTGTGGCTTATCTGCCTGACTACAGGTGCATGGGGTGTCTGAGAGAGTGGGATGGTAGGGGGCAAAGGCATGGGTGGACTTTGCCAGGAATCCTGTCCCTGCACCATGGGAGAATGGGGAGCTGAAATGGGGGATTGGTGTCTAGTAAGGTTCCCTCATGTCTGCCCCCACCACCGCTGCTTCCAGGATGCAGGAATGGGCCCGCCGGGAAGCTGAGAGACTTGTGAAATATCGGGAGGCCAATGGCCTTCCCCTCATGGAATCCAACTGCTTTGATCCCAGCAAGATCCAGCTACTGGAAGATGAGGACTGACCAGCTGCTGAGTGGGGCTCAAGAAGCAGCACCCTCCTCACCCCCTGCCTGCCATTCTGTCCTCTCCTCAGAGCACCTAATTAAAGGGACTGAAAATCTGACTGGGTAGTATTGATTTTATTGTAAAGGGAACATAGGGTGGGGGTGTCAGAAGCCTTAAAAAGACCACTGCAGCCTTTCCTGGGTGTTCCGGTTATCTGTTGCTGTATAACAAACATCCTAAAACTTAGTGGCTTAAAACCACAATTCGGTATTATCTTTTATGGTCCTGTGGGTTAATTGGGCTCAGTGAGGTAGTTCTTCTTGGGATCTCAAGTGGTTGCAGTTAGATGGTGGCTGGGGCTGGAGTCATCTGAAGGCTTACCTGGACTGGATGTCCAAGAAGGCTTCTTCATTCCCATGTTTGGCACTGGTCTTTTTCCATATGGCTTCTCCAGAAGAATAGCCTGGGCTTCTCTTATGGTGGTTTGGGGCTCCTCTGAATGGGGATGTAGCATATAGGAAGAAATTGATGGCAACATCTTCAGAAACAAGCTACCACACTGGGACCTCCTACATTTGAAGATGGCTGGGGTGAATGGCAGTTGAGGGTAGTGGGTCAGAGCAGGGCTTTTGGGTGTTTGTCTCCCTCCTTCTTTGCTTCTCTCTGGGGTTTGGAGTTTCTGCCTATGTCTTGTGTCTTGGTGAGTCTGGATGCCTCTCTATTCCCTTCTGCCCCAAATCTGGGTGGTCTCTAACTCAAGATACACATCTGTGTGTGTGTGCATGCATATTCCTCTATACCCCCCCCCCCCCAATTTTCTTTCTCTCTGGGAATAGGCTGTCTCCTTGCATCAGGGTCTCTATCTCTCTCAGTCTGGTAGATGGAGTAGGGGGCTGGCTTTTGCTCGGGCTGGCTTTGTTTCTTTCCAGGGAGTCTCTGTTAAGTCTGAACTTCCCTTCATGCTCCTGGCATCTCTGTCCTCTCTGGTGGCCCTCCTTCCACAGCTCACACATTCAAATCCCCATGTCACATATTCTTTGCTACTATCTGTGTGTTTGTCCCTGCCTGGGGCTTCAAAAGGTGTAAGAGCCCCCAGTCAGTAGCTTCCAGAAGAAAATATGGCCTGCTGGACCCACCACCAAAGGTGATACCCTGCCCCTAGCTTCTGAGTCTTGGGAGGAGCCCTTGTCCACTTATACATGGCTAAGGCAGGAGCCATGTCCATGTGGGCCTTCCTGTACGTGAGGAGTGTCATCCCAAGTGCTTCCTTGTGAGGCTAGTCTCCCAACCTCGGGGGAGGCCCCAAAGCAGAAGATACAGGTTGGGTATCCCTTACTCGAAATGCCTGGGACCACAAGTGTTTTGGATTCCAGATCCTTTCAGATTTTGGAATACTCGCATATACATAATGAGATTCTTGTGGATGGGACCCAAGTCTATACACAAAATTAATTTGTTTCATATACACCTGACACATATAGCCTGAAGGTAATTTTATAAGATATTTTCAATAATTTTGTGCATGAAATTTTGTGTGCCTGTGTTTTTTTTTTTTTTTGTCTTTTGTTTTTTTTTTTTCCGTGTCCGGCAACGGATCGCAACCCTCAGTGTTGCCCCCGTACCGGACCGGGGACCGGCAACGCGATTGCAAGCCTCGGCGTTGCTCCCGCGCCTCGCTCAGCCAGTGAGCGGGAGCCAGTCTGTATGTGGGATCCGAACCCTCGGATGGGAGCGCCGCCGCACTTCCCAAGCGGCGCACTATCCAGTGCGCCACCGGGCCGGCCCTGTGTGCCTGTGTTTTGACTGCAACCTATCACGAGGTCAAGGTGTGGAATTTTCCATTTAAGGTGTCATGTTGATGCTGAAAAAGATTCAGATTTTGGAACATTTTGGGCTTTGGATTTTTGGATTATCAACCTGTACTAATCTGTAAAGGGAGCTCTCTGCCCTTCAACCTGCATTACTGGGACTATGGAAATTAAAGGGGCATGTTATTCCAGCCTCCAAGTACCTGAGTATATTGGAGTAATACTCCCTATGATAAACCTCCCCTTACTTACTTCCTACAACGATGTAAACTCCAGAAAGGCAGGCATTCAGATATGTTCTGTTCACTTAGAGCAGTGATTGGCACAGTATGTGCTTGAGAGATATTTGGTGTGGTTACCTCCTATGACATCCCCTACCCACCCATGCCCTTCAGACTTACAGCCCCGGGGTGTAAATATGTCCCATTCTCTTATGCTCTGCCTCATCAGCCTCTCCGGGCTCTCAAGAAACCTCCATTCTGGTCAAACAAGAGGCTGCACTTAGACTAAATCCTAAAATGCATGCCCTGGCCCCCCCACTCTGACTGACAATGCCACCTTCCTCTTCCCACCACACAGGCTACCTCTTTTTTCTTAACTGACACATAATAATTTTACATATTTATGGGGTACAGCATGATATTTTGATTCATATATGTAATAATGTAATGATCAAATCAGGGTAATTGCATATCCATCACCAGAAGAGAGGATGCCTTCTTTTTTTAACCATTGAATTAAAATTTATGTACAAAAAAGTGTACAAGTCTCCTTTGCTTTTTACAAATTAGACACACCCATGTCACCAGCACCCAAGTCAAGAAACAGAACATGAGCAAAACCCAGAAGCTCCCTTCAGATCCTCTCCTACCCCCTGAAACCCCAAAGGTAGCTACTCTCCTGACTTCTAGCAGCGTAAGTTACTTTGGTCTGGTTTTGAACTTCTTATAAGTGCAATCATACATTTTTGTGTCCAGCTTTCATTCAGCCCAATGTTTGTGAGACTGATCCATTTTGACACATACATTAGTAGTTTCTTCCTCCTCATTGCTGTATTCTATTTCATTGTGTGAATAGACCACACTTTATCCATTCTAATGTTGCTGGGCATTTGGGTAGTTTTCTATTCAGGGCTATTAAGAATAATTTGGGCTGGCCGGTTAGCTCAGTTGGTTAGAGTGTGATGTTATAACACCAAGGTCTAAGTGTTTGCATCCCCATACTGGCCAGCTGCCAAATAACAATAATTTTATGAACATTCATGTACACATCTTTTGGTGGACATTTACACTCATTTCTCTTGGGCATATACCTAGGAACGGAATTGCTGTCGTGGGGTAGATGTGATCAACTCTGGTAAATTATGCCGTTTCCAATCTACACTTTCCCAGTGGTGAATCCACCAACACTCAGCATTTCCCATCTTTTTCATTTAAGCCATTCTGGTGGGTGGCTCATACCATTCTCTGGCCATGTTATACCCTAAGTTGTTGTAGAGTCACCACCCAGGAGAAGGCCCTCACCACGTGTTCCCTAGACTTTGGACTTCCCAGCCTCCAAAACTGTAAGAAATAAATGTCATTCCTTTATAAATTACCCAGTTTCAGGTACTCTGCCATAAGCAACAGAAACAGACTAGTACACCCAGGAAATAAAATATCTTACCAAATTCACAACAACTATTACTGATAGACATAAACACCACAGAATAAACTAAAGTATCTAAAACTGTAAACTTGAGAATGTATTGAGGGAAAATTGATGGAAGGATCCAATGTTCTCAGCAAAATGTGGGAATGCAAATTTTGATCCTGAAATATTAGATTTGGTGGGAACTGGCCACAAATAAAGCTCAGAATGACAGGAGATAGTCATTCAACAAATATTGAAGTGCCTACTGGGTGCCAGGCACTGTTATAGGAGATGTGGATTCAGCAGGGAACAAAAAATTGTAAAATTCCTGCCTTCATTGAGCTTATATTATAGCAGGAAGAGACAGAAAATAAACAACACAATAAATTAGTACATTATATGTATGTTAGGAGGTGATAAGTGTGTATTAAATTAAAGTCTACAGCCTTATAGCCCGAAGGTTGTGGGTTCGGATCCCCATACTGACCTGCTGCAAAAATAAATAAAGCTGGTAGCAGGGTTTGGGGAGTTGGGGTGGGGGAAAAAGTTTGAATTTAAACAAGGTAGTCATGGGCCGGCCCGTGGCTCACTCGGGAGAGTGCGGTGCTGATAACACCAAGGCCACAGGTTCGGATCCTATATAGGGATGGCCGGTTCGCTCACTGGCTGAGCGTGGTGCAGACAACACCAAGCCAAGGGGTGAGATCCCCTTACCGGTCATCTTTTGAAAAATAAATAAATAAATAAACAAGGTAGTCAGCTTAGACCTTGTTGAAAAGGTGATTATTTAAGAAAAAAAGGTGAAGGAAGCGAGATGAGCTACACAGGCACAAGAGCATTTCTGACAGAAGGAACAACCAATACAGAGTCCCTGAAGCAAGAACGTGCCCGAGATGTTCAAAGAGCAGCCTGAGGCCAAGGAGGTATATGAGGGAAGCTATTACTGCTTAAATTTGACACAGATAAGAAAAGTGATGCATGGATTAAATCATCACTGTAAAAATTAGCCAGAAAATTAATCCCACTGAAAATAATTTCAGAAAAATGAAAACGGCAAAAATTGGCTTTAAATTAACTTTTTTTTTTTTTGGTGGCTGGTCAGTACAGGGATCTGAACCTTTTGTCCTTCGTGTTATCAGTACCACGCTCTAACCAAGTGAACTAACCCGCCAGCCCTGGCTTTGGGTGAACTGTACCACTATATGGCATTGATCAATTAAATCAACTCAGCAGAATTTACTTGAGGGCAAACTTTCACAGTAGAAATTCACCTGAGGTGGTCAAATTCTAATTTTAAATGTTAGTATTTGTAAGCAGAGCCAATACATCAGATGTCAATTGCATGTGAGTTAGAGGAGTGAGTCCAGGGCCAATTGAAGGGCCAGGATCCAGGCAGGGCAGCTGGGAGTCAACAATCATGACCTGTACATAAGGGCAAAGAAGGGTTCATTCATGCCTTTGCTCATTTATTCATTCATTCATTCCATGAATATTTACCAAGTGCCTACTAGATGACAAGGATACAGCAATCAATAAGACAGGCAAAAATCCCTGCCCTCTTGGAGACAGATAATAAATTTAAAGAACAAATAACAATTTGGGGTAGTCATAATTGCTAGATAAATAAGTAAAATATATAATACGATAGTGACAAGTGTGGAGGAGAAAAATCAAGCAG